ATTGCTTTCGGAGGAAGGATGTGATGTCACTGCTGTCCTGCTCTGTTGGACATAGAACTGTCTGTAACGTTCCTAATTCTCAGTCCGTGTTACTGTTCATGGAGCTGTGACCAGTGTTGATGGGCCCCCAGGAGACTCAAACTGAGGTATTTTCTCCACTGTGAGGAGCTGCGGGACCAACAGGAAATGGTCACTGCCCTGGTGTGAATCCCTTGAGCTGATCCCCAGGGATCAACAGGTGGAGGGAAAACAAGTCTGGGTTTTTCATCTTTATTTAAAAACATTGTGAATAGTGGCCTATATAACATAGCAATTTAAAGATTTAAAGGCTTCATTTTTATCAATTGGTATCAATAGAATATCTCCCATAAAGTGATTGTGGTTAGGTCTTGACTCTGAAAAGTTAACTGACTCATGTGTTTACTCGAGCTAATCAAGTGGCCCAGCTCGGGTCCTCATCCTGGATTCGGAATCCAGGGATCTTTCCTGCTGGTTCAGGGAGGACCTTCCCCGTGGGGAGACATGCCTGTGCCCCACATCTCACTCCGTCTTTTCCTCTCTGTCACCCCTCCCCTCCCAGTGGAGCCCACAGTGACCATCTCCCCGGCCAAGACAGAGGCCCTGAACCACCACAACATGCTGGTCTGCTCGGTGACAGATTTCTACCCAGCCCACATCAAAGTCCGGTGGTTCCGGAATGACCAGGAGGAGACAGCCGGTGTGGTGTCCACCCCCCTGATTCGGAACGGGGACTGGACCTACCAGATCCTGGTGATGTTGGAAATGACCCCCCAGAGAGGAGACATCTACACCTGCCGCGTGGAGCACCCCAGCCTCCAGAGCCCCATCGCAGTGGAGTGGCGTAAGGGGCCGTTTCTTTCCTGCATCTTGGGCCCCACAGACAGAGGGCAAACAGCGTCCCCTGGCCATCCCATTGCATCCCTGCCCCTGATGTCACTGCTGAGTGCACATCACAGGATGCTAGAGCCCTCTGGTGCCCTGGCAGGGGCATCAGATCTCATGGTGTTTCCAGACACTAGGGAGGTCACTCTACACCACAGCTAGAACCCAGTCTGAGGGCTCTGAGGGCTGACTGTGGTGGCTGGTGATGGGGCTTAAGACCCAAGGTTAAGGATGCATGTGAAGGAGCAGGACCCACTTCCCCTGTCACCACCCACGGTGTCCAAGTGTTTACTGGCTGGTCCCCCCAGGGGTGGAGGCTTCCAAAGGGCCCCTGTGGGTTTGGGGACAGAAGCTGACACCCAGGCTCTGCTCCCCAGGGGCACAGTCTGGATCTGCCCAGAGCAAGATGCTGAGTGGCATCGGGGGCTTCGTGCTGGGGCTGATCTTCCTGGGCCTGGGCCTTGTCATCCGTCACAGGAAACAGAAGGGTAAGCAACTGGGGAAACGGGAGGATGGGCTGTGCCCGGGACCCTCTGTTGAGGGAGCCTCTGCTTCTAGGTGTAACTCACCTCCTGACCTGGAAAGTAGGAGGCCGGGCTGGTGGTGGGAGGAGACAGACAGCTAGGGGAGGCTTTGGACTGGATTTTACTGGTTGAAAGGCAGCCCTGCCATAAGTATGACTATGGCGAGTGTCCTGGGGCTGAGAGCTCATCACTGTCTCGCTGGCCCCTTTCCAAAAGCTGCTTCTTTAAGATCAGGGCGTTGTCTTCCCTTCCTTCTAGTGACAGGTCCACTCATTTGGGGGATTGTAGCTTAGGGGTAAGGCCTTGTGGCTGATGGGTAGGGGGGAAATACATTTCCAATTAAGTTGCTTATCTCATTTCTTGTGGGTGGGAGAGGGACGGGCTGTTTGCGTGATGAGACCTTTCTCTGTGTAAAGTCCTTTTGTAGGATCTCATGGGCCTCCCCGCAGGTACTGTCTCTGCTCTGATTTAATAGGGGAGGGGAGGATGGAGGGGGTGCTAGGACAGGAAAAAGAGGGAGGTGCGGAAGATGAATGCACCTTGTCACAAAGGTCGTGGTTCCTGGCCTATTCCCTGCCAGGGGATCAAGGATTTGGGGAGAAGCTCGCCCAGTTTCTGAAGGAAGCTCCAGGCTTGTTATCTAGAACCCTGGGCTTAACTTTGGTGACTCTCTCTGTGAATCGTGGAGCCAGAGCCACGTCTTGGGTGGTAGACTTGTGGATGGTGCCCACTTTGTGCCCATGTTGGTGGCTTCTGCCTGTGGGCATTTATAAGTCACTCCTAGTGGTGGAAGGAAGGTTAGTTATCAATAAATTTGCTAAAAGATGAAATGCTCATATCCCCTAAGGATAACAGCTGTTCCTCCTGCATGTCTGGGTGGAGCTGAAGTGCATGTCCTCTTTAGCAGATTTCACCCGGACACTGATACTGGGGGAGGTGATGACCTTATGCCCAGACTTCAGCTTTACCTGATGCTGCAGGGCCCCGAGAGGAGGGGACAGGGTACGTCCCCAGGTGCCGGGTGCTGATCACTCTCTCTTCTACAGGGCTCCTGCACTGACTCCTGAGGGTACTTTGACTGGGATCAGCTATGTTTCTTCTGAAATGCCTGCTTGCTGTCCTCGCGCAGATTTCCCAGCTGCCTGTGAACCTGCTCCCTAGTTACTCTAATGCAGTCGGCCAGGCATCTCCTGTGATACCCCCTCACCGCTCCACCCCCTCCTGAGGCCATGGCTGTGCCCTGTGGGCTGGCAGCTGAGTCTATTCAAGGCCCCCAAGGCATTTTTCTTTTGTCCCCTCCCCCAATGCACTGTCCAAGAGAAGCACATTAAAGCCTTTGCCTGACTCCAGAGCTTTTATCATAATTAAACATGTTATCTGTATCCTGAGCCTTCTTAACTGAGTGGAGGCAGGAAGCCACTGCAGAATGAAAGGAACATATTTTGCTCCTGAGGGAGACTAGAGGCATCTTGGGGTGCTGTGATAAAAGTGGGCAGAGGGAACAATTCAATCGCTCTCCTTCCTGGCTCTTCAGTATTGATGTTCAGTGCAGTGGCCTTAGGATGTGCCAGCCTCTCTTCAAGTGTGCTGGGTATAGTGTACGTCAGCATGGAGGACTTACCTGGGCCCAGGTATAGTGGCCCTTGGTGTCTCAGAGAACCAAACTGATGTTTCAGATGTCTTGGCAAGTCACATTGATCAACGTAAAAAAAAAGTTTTTGATGATGACAAAATTCTTTTATTAGTAGATTAGACACCTAGTGCATGAATTCGTGCACAGGTTGGGTTCCTTGGCCTGGCTGGCAATCAGGGCTGATTGGGGCCATCTCGCTCAGTACCAATTGGTTGATCAGGGCCAGCAGCAAAGGGAGGACCATGAGAGTTGGCTGGCTGTGGTAGCTCA